GACAGAGACCCGCAGATCATCTGAACGATGACAAAACCATCACGATGAGGCCAACACCAATAGCACCCACAGCCATCGCCTCAGAGGCCTGAAAAAATAACTTGTACTGCTGGCACAAGCTCTTGCTCACCTTATGCTCGGTTTCATTGCCACCCGGCAAGATTGTTCTGCTGTACCATAGTGTCTGTTTCATCGTCACAGTATCGCTCTTCTTTTGGAACACAGGAAAAATGTTGGCACACACAGCACAGGCGGTGGCCAATACGGCCATGATCAGCACCAGTATGCGCAAAGAGGGACAGCAGCACATGGTTCCTTTTTGGTGGCTGTGGAAAGCTTAATTATTGCCTTGGTGCTGCATCGGAGACACAAAGAGCAGAACAAAAAAAGAAGAAAAACGTTGGCGTTCACACTCCTTCGGTGCAGGCGAGAACCACCGCAACGTGGAAGCACCGCCATCTGAACGTTTGCGTTTGTACGTGAAGGAACCACAAGAAGGACAACACACCCTTATAGTTCAGATGTTTGTGTATCGCTCGTCCGCAGGGCGGTCGAAGTCGATGTCCAGTTCGCTTATTCGCCAGTCCTCATATGTGTTGTCAGGCAGCACGCGCCGTATGATGAGCGGTATGACACCCTCGCGGAGCTCTTTCTGTGCGATGGTGAGCGGGTCTGTCTCGCCCTCCAAAGCCACCAGCACCGGCGCGTTCATGCTGATCTGCAGCGCCCGCGTGCCAAGGATGCGAGCCCGCTCGTACTTCGTCAGTACCGGCGCGGTCACACGATCCTTGTCGTCACGCCGTACGGCAGAACCGCCCGCCGCCTGCCCGGACAGGACAACACCCGCGCCCTCGCCCCTCACTCTGCTCGTCGTCACTGTGCAGAGCGCTCTCCTCCTGCTCCTCACCAAAGTTGAGACTCAGCCTGTCGTCGTCCTCATCGCGGTCGGACATCTCCCTTTCTTCAAGCCTAGACCACCACAACGGCAACGAGCGTCTGTGAGCATCACGCACAGCGCCCAAAACAACACAGACCGAGGGAAACAGTCACTATTGTGCCGTGGCACACAATGCGGACGATGCCAGAAGAATATTCCGCGCACAAAAACACATTCATGTTGGGAGTAGAGTTAATACAATACCAATTAGAAACGAAAATGGGATAAAAAACACTCATTTTGGGAGTACAGTTAATATAATACCAATTAGTAACGAAAATGGTATAAAGCACACTCATTTTGGGAGTACAGTTAATATTGTACCAACTAGAAACAAAAATGGGATAAAAAACACACAAATGAAATTGCTACAAAAAAAACTAGAATTCCATTCAATATGTTTCCTAAGAGAGATGGGGCAGAAGTTGGTGGAAAATAATATGTCCTCCAAATAGCGTGGAAGCGCAGTAACCACAAGCCGCAATTCTTACTGGCACTTGCTACCTCTATGCGAAGCACTGAAAAAAGCTGGATAGAAAAAAAAGACCACATGCAACGCAAATGAGGTAAAATGACTCCGCAAATTTGTAGTTCTGGTCCTTGAAGGGAGCGTAGATGGAAGAGAGTGCGGTGTCGTCCTGGCAGTAGCCTTTCATGTACCCGTACACAAGAAGCGCCACAC